GTTTTATTTTATTTTATTTTATTTTTTCTATCCATTTAATTCACACAGACACACTTATTGGGTCACAATATGCAAAAATACGCGTATATATACACGTATAAAATGATTACATCTATCTATATGTATATCTATGTGTCCTTTTTGCATCTATAGGGGAGGATGGGACCACGGTGTGGAAGTATTACACAAATATTGTCAGGTGGGATACACACAATCAATGCGGGAACTATTAGTCATTGAAGCTTCAAGGCTCAATTAGGTAACCTTTTTTTAATAAATTTTTTCTTACGCAGATTTTTTGCATGTATTTTAAATAAGAAGGTGCAAAAAGCTCATTTTTTAAAGCTCGATAAAGTTATGTTAGTTGTTGTTAGTAGAGAAAAATATTAAAATGTTTTTGGTGCTGTTAGTAACACATATTATGGAAATCCTGTGGAAATACTAAATATAGAGACATCGTTTTAAAAAACGTACAATGCGAAGGCAATGGTTCAATTCGCCACTCTTTGACTGACTTACCAAAAGCAGCTCCAAAAAGAAAATAATTGATTTTTTATAATAAGTATGTATAAACAAAATTAAAAGCATTACGGTTGTGTGCCACAATACATAAATTGACGCAAGAAAATAGCTTCGCTAATTCTAAATTGCTTGGCAACTGCAAAATTTTATCTCTAAATGCTTTCTAGTAAAAATAACACAATACATGGAATTGATGCATTGCCGATTCGCTCGTAATGACAGCCTTAGCGGCAAAAGTGGTTTAGGCGTAAAAAAAAAGCATTGGACTCTGCTCACATCTGGTCGATAAAAACATGTGCTCTTCTTCACAATCAAATAAATGCAGTATAAAGATTTTTTAATTATTTAATCCAACACTTATTATCAATGTCTCATCTTTAAACGAAGATTACAATCAGGTTAAATTGTAGGGTGATAATGTGTACATATAAATTATTTAGAGATATTTGTTGTTAATAATTTATGTACACATAATTGGTGTAGGTCTTGAAAATTAATGAAGCAAATGCTTCTTCAGGTACACTTGGTGCTAGACAATAGTAATCAGTCGTACGTGACGAAACATATACCGGCTACGCGAGTTGTGTATTGTAATAACCTTGGTCAACTTGCACACTAATTGCTTGAAATGATCAAATATTTATTGTATTTTTCATGTGTCGATGTTACATTACTGTAATCGTTGCTAAATCGCGATCATAAAATTTCATACTGACAGTCTCCTTGACAAATACATATACGTTCAAGAGGAAAATATCCATTACTTATCGAAAAAACATTTTAATAATCAAACACATAAACTCTCGCTACCAGAGGATATACATCAAAACGATAATATTCATACTCATGTAATGGAAAAATGTCATGCAATATTCAAGTCTTACAATTAATATATACCTATACACGCTTCTTGGAAAAAGATTCGTTTTTGTTTGTAATTTTTATCAACCTAATTTACTCACACCTGAGAAAATAAAAAAAAATAAAAAAATTATACTTGACCTAACGAGTTAAATGAAATGTTTCAGGGATCAATACTCGTCTGTTTCACGAATCAATTGCAAAAAGGACGAGAAAAAAAAAGTTTTATGAAGGTAATTGTAATAGTTTGTGCCTTTCCATAAAATTATCTTTCCAATAACCATTAAATCGAAAAAAAGAGCTATCTCGAACAGAGGCCTGAGGATTTCTGATATACTTGGAGAAAAATAAAAAAATCAATCAACGCTTGTGTCCTTACTGTGATGCTTGAAAGTTTGAAAAAAATCATATCCTTTCTCCTCAAATTTCACGTAGAGATTTCTTATCTTTGAGCCGTTGAAACGCAGAAACAATGGCAACCATTGAACAATGTGCACTTGCGCGTTTCCAGCCACTATGCCTCATTAGCTTTGTTCAACAAGTTTCATTCCGGAAGGAAGGTACGGGCGACCTCGAGTTTTTTTTTTTTTTTTTTTTTTTTTTTTTTTTTTTTTTTTTTTTTTTTTT